TGGTCCGAACTGAGCTGCCTGCGGGGCCACCTCGGGGAAACTTGAGGGTTGGTTTTACTCGTAGCTAGTCTCATCTGAGTGTGCCCTGAGAAAGAGATATGTGCAGCTCCTATCGGGATTTGTCGGCACATTCGGGCGGTGTTGCTGGTTTAGTTTTACCCTGTCGAAATGTCTTGTTGTACCGGGATACCGAGTCTGATCGGAATGTCTCGGGAGGAGGTCTATTCCTTCGTTGACCGTGAGAGCTTGTCATGGGCTAAGTTGGGACACCCCTGCAGGGTATTATCTTTCGAAAGCCGTGCCCGCGGTTATGTGGCAGATGGGAATTTGTTAACGTCCGGTTGTAGAAAACCCGAAGTTGACCTTAATTAAAATACATCAACCGTGTGTGTAACCGTGATGGTCTCTTTCCGGTGGAGTCCGGGAAGTGAACACGGTGTTGGAGTTATGCTTGACGTTGGTTGCTATAGGATCACTTCTTCATCATACTTTTATCGACCGTGCTTTGCCTTCTCTTCTCGCTCTCATTTGCGTATGTTAGCCACCATATATGCTAGTCGCTTGCTGCAGCTCCACCTCATTACTCCATCCTTCCTATAAGCTTAAATAGTCTTGATTTCGCGGGTGCGAGATTGCTGAGTCCCCGTGGCTCACAGATACTTCCAAAAACCAGTTTGCAGGTGCCGATGAGTTTGTGCAGTTGACGCAACCAAGCTCAAGGAGGAGCTCGATGAAGATATTGCCCTTTGTGTCGTTTTAGTTGATCAGTAGTGGAGCCCAGTTGGGGTCGATCGGGGACCTTTGTCGCATTTGGGGTTCTTCTTTTATTTTGGTTCCGTAGTCGGACCTTGATTGTATCTGGATGATGTAATGCTTTATTCATGTACTTGTGTGAAGTGGCGATTGTAAGCCAACTATGTATCTCTTTCCCTTATGTTTTACATGGGTTGTGTGAAGATTACCTCACTTGCGACATTGCTTTCAATGCGGTTATGCCTCTAAGTCGTGCTTCGACACGTAGGAGATATAGCCGCATCGAGGGCGTTACAGTGTATCTCTTTGTGTTTCGAGGATCTAGCACATGTGTAATCGAATCTTGTTGGTTTGAGTGAATCCTCTCGTGTTTCCCCCTTGTGTTCTTCGTGTTTTCCCGTGGGATCCGCTCCAATCGTGAAAGATCAGGCATCTAGGGATCTACCCTACATCAACTTGTATGCGTGTAGCTGCTCTCCCTAAGGCACCCTTGTCGGGCTTGAGCGCTCCGTGTCTTCGTGTTCCTCCAGATCAATCCACCAAAAGTAGGAGTGGGGGTTTACGCTGCCAAGCGGCCCGAACCTGTGTAAAAGAGAGTTGTCCCCGTCGCGCTGCCCTGCTGCCTCTGCTCTTTGTGCAATTTGATCATCCCCAGCCGAACCACAAAGGGGCCTCTTGGTCCCATAGGTGATTGTGATCCACCGCGACAGATGTCATGGCTTAGTGCACAACACCAAGTAGCTTAGGGTGCTCCCCTTGTTTGGTTCGGTGAGGGGCGAAGAGACGGACGATTCCCATTTATGTGACACGATGATTTTACCTAAGTTTAGGCCGCTGTGAAGTGTAAAACCCTACGTCCGGCTTGGTTGTTTTGATGGATGTGATGAACAATGTTTATATGGTGTGATTTTCATTTCCGGGGGGTGCTGGGACGAGGATGTTGACTACCGTATGTGGCGTTCTTCCTAATAAGAAACTAGCCTTCTTAGGGGTTCAACCCTAGGATCCAAACAGCTTCGGCTCCAACCCTGATCTAGGTTTCTCGAGCCTCCTTTTGTAGTGGTAAAGGGTTGTCACAGTAGCTACATCAGTACAAATAAGTGGTTGCATGGTAGAACTTCCATTGCAGTAAATGATGGGCACGTGGCAACGATATGTGTTGCCGGGAGCAGACACATGTCACATCAGACGCCTTTGTTGACTTTGGGGCACGCCACTGTTCCAGCAGTCAGCAAGTGGCACGCATGCCCACCAGCTGGCCCCACGCTACGGCTGTCCGCCGTAGGCCTAGATTGTCCTAGCCCCTGAGTAGTCCCATTAGCCCGCACGCAAGCAACTAGTTGTTGGCGGGGCTTAGGTAGCATGCTGGGAGTCGCTTGCAGGGCTTAGGGAGCCTGCTGGGATGCTGACCGTGGGGCGGACATTCCCGGGAGGAATATTGCACCCGCATAGATCTTGGCCTTGACGCTGCTACTGATGCAAAATTCCTTTGTCCAACATGATGCTCTTGCCTGTGAGAGTCTTCACAAAGATCTATGTCTAGTGGGTTGGTGATGGTGAAGATCTGCAAGCCACCTTGGGTGGGGCATAGTCTTGAAAACACATATTGGTTGCATATGTGTTGCCCGTTCAAGGGCTGCCGTGGCCCACGCGAGACAGGTCCGTTGGATCCTGGTCTTCACGGGCTGATAGTGCATATTTAGATATTTGCTTTCGAAATGCAAATACACAATTGATTAGATATTGGATAGTCTTGTATGTCGCATGAATCTTGGTGGAGTGCATCAGAGCAAGAGAACATGAGTCCTACCTGAAATACATGTATTTACAAGAAGGAATCATGGCAATAAAGTGAAGAGATGCACCTACTAAACTGAAACACAAAACAGAGATTCATGAAGAGATAAACTTGTGAAAATAAGGTTAGAAAACACAAGAATCTCACTTCATTAACATAAGAAGTATTGCAGTTAGAACCAAGATTGGGAAAACTTGTATAAGAATAGGTAGCACTCGTCAGAGTAAATACCACTTGTATGACTTCATGTTGCTAAAGAAATCAACTAAAGAATATTCAATAAGATCTCGATAAGATTTTTCTCCGCTTATAGGTTTCCTCTCCCCTGAATCAAAGACTTTTATTGGGGGCAAGTTAAGAGGTAAGAGAAAACCAGTAAAGCTGAAGCAAGAATGAGTGCTTCTCCCCCTAAATCTTGAAACATATGGCTCCCCCCTTAAATTCTTAAAAAAAAAAAAGAATATGCCTTAGGCATTTACACCAATTGAGGATATAACATTCCTCTCCGATAGATAATCAAGCCCCCATCTCCTTCGGATTTGGAAAGAACAACCCTTACTACTCTTTTCCTCTTGTCGACCTTGTATTATTGTGGATCTCATATGTTATTTTAGTGGATGTGTGATTGAACTTGTCTTGGAGTGTTCCCCTTGGTGATTTGTGTGTTCACCTCGAATCCCCTCCAAGTTATGAAAGATTAGGCCATCTAGGGTTCTACCGTACATCAACCTGCCTTTTAACATTTGAGGCACTCTCTTGTCACAGATAACGCGAAAGTTTGGCGCCATTCATCTGTCGAGCTTTGATCTGACCCTTGCATCTTCATCGATATCACCATCCATGCAACATTGAAACCAAATATCTTAGGTGTCCTTCTAAGCTACCGCTGTCAGCTGCCTTGTAATACTGAAACCACGCCTCATATTACTAATTCAATTCATACCACAATACACATAAATTTCCAACAAAGGTTGTATAATGCGCCAACAACTCATAGGACCCACCAATACGTAATACTTCTCCAAAGACAGAAGTAGCATAACTAGTTAGCAAACCAAAAAGGCAGCAAATAAAAAATATAGACCAAGAAGGGTTTAACGAAACTTGTTTTGGGTCCTATCAGGTATGATGTATAATCCGACATACATTGTAGTATAATGTAACTTTCATAGTGGAAAATGGAACAGAATCCTAATACACACATCTAACTTCCAGAAATGCTGAACAAACTGCCCCTACGGCAGTGTACTCCAGGATGTTCGCACAACAGAGAAACAAAAAGAGTAGAAATGCCTTCGCACCAGTTCAACTAAGCTGCTCTGCTGATGATTCCCGCTCCCGATTCTCTACGGTATGATGTCTACATTTCAAGTATTGCAGCATGCCCTCTTTGAGTTCCCGGCAGTACTGTCAATGCTGATGGTTTTACCCTGGGAAGGCAATGGAACAGCTGCTGCTGCTGCTTCTTTGGCGGCCAGTGCTTTCTTGTTGACAATACCATAGACCTCTGTGATGATAGTCTGAAAGGCTTCTACCACATTTACAGCCTCCATAGCTGATGTCTCAAGGAAAAACAGGCCCTCCTTTTCAGCCAGTGCCTTGCCTTGATCTTCAGAGACAGCTCTTAGTTGTGTCAGGTCAGACTTGTTACCGACCATCATGATGACAATGCTGGAGTCAGCATGATCACGAAGCTCACGCAGCCACCTATTAACATTGTCAAAGCTCTGCTTCTTTGTGATGTCATATACAAGGAGAGCCCCTACAGCGCCCCGGTAATATGCGCTTGTAATTGCACGGTACCTCTCCTGGCCAGCAGTGTCCCAGATCTGAGCCTTTATTGTTTTTCCCTCCATCTGTTAACAACACCATTCACAATCAGACGTCAAAAAATAGCTGGACCAGTAAGTCCATGGCTTCCAACACAAACTATCTTCTGAAGTAGAAGAAAGATAATAAATTGAGTAGGTGATGAGCTAAATCCACAGGAAAAGTGGCACTGCTGTTGCACTAAAAAGGAGGCTGTTAAATGCCACAATTATAACAATAATTGTACTCCCTTCATTTTTATATACTACCTCCATCTAGGTGAATAAGTCATTTGTGTAGTTTTAGGTCATCGATTTGAGGAATTAAATATGTGTTGTCATGAAAAGTACTCCCTCTGTAAACTAATATAAGAGCGTTTAGATTACTAAAGTAGTGATCTAAACACTCTTATATTAGTTTACGGAGGGAGTATATCACTAGATTTCTACACGGATGTAGTTTCTAAATATATATTTTTTGTCACATATAATACATATTTAGATAGTTAAATCGTCGACCAAGAACTACGCGAATGACTTATTCACCGAGACGCAGGTAGTATAAGGTCACAAACTCATATTACATTTACCAAGATAAAATTTAATATGTCCTTTGCAAGTCAACTTTTCTTTTTGTCTACTGGGATAATTTATACGCCACATGCATGCAAAGAAAGAATAGTTGTGTGTTATTTTATGACTGCATGCATGCAAGTATTAATTAAGTTACTAGTACAAGAAAATATCATTAATTTTGCCCTCGATTACTGTTGATGGCCTTATATAGATGCAAAATGTATATTCCATAGTGGCCTTGTATAAGTACTAAATGGAGGGATAACAACAACAACAACAACAACAACAACAACAACAACAACAACAACAAAAACAACAATTTGAATTATTTGAAGATTGCTCACCACACCTGCGGCGTGGTGAGAATAACAATAATAATAATGGCGATGCATAACGAAGACAATAGAGATGACAGGTTTGTTTCACCTAACCCTGGAAGACAGAACAGACAGGATGCCACATTAAAAAAAAAGTGGTTGTAGCTCGCAATCAACCTAACAATCAGTCCATAAAAATCCTAATGATGTGATCCAAGGGGAACCAGGCGAATCTAGCATGCAAAAAAGAACTCTTAAACGTAATGGACAGACTCGAGGTTAGAACAACGTCTAACAACTAGTCTGATGAATAAGGGAAGACAAATGGCAACTACAGTAATTCAATGCGTTTGCTATTTGTGAAGCAGAGTTTGTTCCTAATGATCCACCTAAGAAGATTTGATAGAACATTCTGAAGTCTCAATCGAGCGAGCCATCCTTCCGTCCGAGAACCAAAAACTCGTGAGAAACGAGCAAGTTTGATGGTGGCAACAAACGCCGTCACCGAGATAACTTTCCCCATTCGCCACAACAGGATCAAGAGGACCATGATCCGGTGTGTCATCATCGGTCCGAGGCCATACCAAAAACGCACGCACGCGTGTCGAACATCTTCCGATTTGATATAGCAGAAATGCGAGGGGAGAGAATGCGGACCTGCAAGGACTTGGTGGCGAACTCCACGCCGATGGTGGACTTGGAGTCGAGGGAGAAGTGGTTGCGGGTGAATCGGGAGAGTATGTTGGACTTGCCGACGCCGCTATCCCCGATGAGCACCATCTTGAACAGGTAGGAGTACTCGTGATCCACCCGTCCGCCCATCTCTTCTCCTCACCTTCTACTCTGAGACCAAAAATTAAATTTATTCTTCCGAAATGAAAATCAAGCGAGCGTGGATCCCCTTGTTGGTGGGGAGGAGGAGAGAAGACGAAGGAGATATAGGGTGGCGAATGAAGAAAAGGAGAAAAGTAGGGAGGAGTGGTGGCCTGACTGGGGTGGCTGGCCTGGTGGGTGGGAGAGCACTCGCTCAACTAACCCAACGAAAGTCGATTCACAGCCCACCATCAAGGAATTTCCGTTCTATTTCGATGTGTACTTGCTGTCACGGGGTTGATATGCGGTCGTAGCTATGACACATGTAAATGTATCAGTTTCCATCACACACTCGACTCCCACGTCGCCCCCTTTGGAAACTCAGATCCACCGCCGTCCCACCTCCTTCTCCCCTCCTCCCCTCGCCGTCACCTCAGGGGCTCATCGGCGAAGCCTGGCCGGCTCCGATGATAGCGGCGGCAGGGCGTTACCTGGCCTCGGGCGAGGAGGCAGCGACGACTGCGAGCAGGTGGGCGGGCCAGATCTGGTCGCGTCCCGGCTGCGTTGGGTGCCTGGGTTGCTTTTGGTGCAGCTTGAGGTGCCGGTGCATGATGTGCTGGAGTTGAGCGACATGTGATGGTGTGTGGTCTGCTAATGGCGGTGCGGCGTTAGGTGTAGACTCGCCGGACCAAAGTCTTGCTCGACGCAGAATGCAGGTGATGGCAACATCTGTGGATGTTGTTTTCCTTGAAGGCATCACCGAGGAGATTTTTCACCCTTTTGCCATTTGGGATCCATTTTCTGGGTGAAAACCTAGATCTGCCTCGTCGAATGGCCAATGGGGCGGCCTTGGCAGCCTTATTTCGTTGGAAGCATTGTTTTGGAGAGGTGGTGGTGGTGGAGTCTGCGTTGTTGCGTCTATTCGTGGCTTGTTGTTGCACGATAGTGGTTGGCAGCAAAAGCACGATGACGCGCGGGGAGCGTCGGACAAGTCATGTTTGTCCTCCTTTCAGGGTCGGAGTGGCACATCCCCGCCTCTCTCCAGAAATGATTCTCTCTCCAATGTCGGTGAGGTTGACAAACACGCTTGTGGCGGACATGCTCGATGAAGGTGCTCTACTGTTTTGGTGCAGCGAAGTCGAAGTTGTCGGGTCATGTGTGCAATGGGTGATGTGCGGTGACACTGTAATGGGGCTACGGTGTGCTCTAGTTTATCATGTTTGGGCATCTTTGTATATCTTGCGGTGCTATTAACCTAGTATAGCTCAGGTTGCCTGTTGTACAGGTTTTCGCTCGGATTTCCTTCAATAAACCGAGCAGCTCTCGCCATCGGCGTACTTCTTCTGAATGGAATCTTAGCAGCTCTCCTGCTAACTTTCAAAAAAATTACACATGTAGATATTAATTATTACCTTTAAACTGCTCGCATATGTCCCCATGAAACCGCCTGCATACATCTGGACCGCACGGTCTGGACGTGTTGTGTCATCCAACACGGGCTTGTATCGGTCCACCGAGTGGTCCGAACGCACCTTTTCCCATAAAGTGGAAGCAAAGTTGGGGGGCTTTGCCGGAGTCCGGACAGCAGCCACGTAGGACTCCAACACCCCCGGCCCACTAAATCCCCCTCCCGGTCTCATGTTCTTCCAATCCGCCCCTTCTCCCCTCTTGCTTTGCATCCGCACCTACCTCCTCCACTACCGTTATTGTACCTCTTCGGACGACGCACAGTGAAAGCACACTTGTTCCCTTGGTGCTTTTGGTAATTCATGTCAACATACATATTGTTGGACTAACACTTTTACCTAGTATATTTCAGATAAGTTCGATAATGGCATGGCAAGGACATGAGGATGTACCCCTTCAGAATGCTAAGGACAAGAATTGGAAAGCTCCAAGACTCTCTACACTTTTGTTTAAGTTACGCAAGATCACCATGAGTCCATAGGAAAGTCAATACTATTAAAAGGGATGAGGTTTTGATCATGACTCAAGTGCTCAAGTGCTTAGTGATATTGCTCTAAAAATTCTCCAAAACTTCTCCACATCATATATGTCCAAAACCCAGAAGTATCATCTCGGCCCCACTAAAAATCTCTATCCCGGACTCATTGAGTTGATCACATACGCTGCCTAAGCCAAACCCTAGCATTTCGGTTCTACCGATATGGATCTCGGTCTCACCGAGATGGCGTGACCAAGTTTCTGTGATGAAGTTGCTTCATTTCAGAATTACTGAGGTGAAACTACCAAAACTACCAAAATGAGGTTTTGCCCTAGTCATTGCACTTAGGTCGCACCGAGATGTTCTGATTCGTCTCACCGAGACTTCCAACGTTTGAATATTTTACACTAGTCGGTCTCGCTGAGATTTCGGTTCGGTGTCATCGAGTCGGGTCAAAGGCTTGTAATGGTTGGATCTTTGGGTGAAGGCTATATATACCCCTCCACCCCCGCTTACTCTCTAAGAGAGACATCAAAACGAAACACTACTTCCACTACTCATTTTCTAAGAGCGAACCACCTACTCATGTGTTGAGATCAAGATATTCCAATCTAACCATTTGAACCTTGATTTCCAGCCTTCCCCAAATTAATTTCCGTTCAATCCCCTCTTCTACCAAAGCCAAATCTATGACAGAGTGATTGAGTGTTGGGGAGACTATCATTAGCAACACAAGAGGAAGGGGTTCATCATCAACAACAACATCTATTACCTTTTGGAGAGTGGTGTCTCCTAGATTGGTTAGATGTCACTTGGGAGCCTCCAAGAGATTGTGGAGTTGAACCAAGGAGTTTGTAAAGGCAGGAGATCACCTACTTCGTGAAGATCTACCCTAGTGAGGTTAGTCCTTCGTGGACGTAAGTCATGATGGAATAGACAAGGTTGCTTCTTTGTGGAATCTTCATGGGTGGAGCCTCCGCGAACCCGCGCAACCGTTATCATCCGTGGGTTAAAGTCTCCATCAATGTGATTGTACGACATCAGCACCTATTGGAACCACATGAAACATCTCCGTGTTCATTGCGTTTGATCTTCCATCTTTACCCTTTACTTTTCACAAAATTGCATGCTTTACTATTTTCGCTTGCCTATCTCTAAATATGCATGTGTAGGAAGTCTTGGTGATATCTTGACTAGCGCCAAAATCTGCCTAATTTTTAGGAGAACTAAAAACTGCACCTTTGGTTGGTTAAGAGCCTATACACCCCCTGTCTTTGATCCTACAAGCTTGGTCTCCATTGCTTTGGTTTTATCATCATTGGAGGAAGATAGATGTGTCTACTTTTGGGAGTCTTAGACGTAGAGTGCCCATTCTTGATGGAGAGTCCTATAACTCTTGGAAAGATGAAATGCTTGCTATCGTTAATGAATTTAACTTGAGCAAGTATATTCATTACAATTATGTGTCTCCTATTGATCCCTTGCACTCCACTCATGAAGAGGAAATCAACATGCTTCGTAATCTTAGAACCCTCAATCATTAGGGGATTACCTAAAAATGTGCTTGTTCATATGCAAAATTTTGAATGCGCATACACTTTATGGATCGACATTGAGATGCGCTTTACCAATTACTCATTAAAGAACCTTAATGACATTCTTCATAAGTCCATTGCCTTTCACAAGATGAAGCCTACTGATCCTAAGTTTGAAATGTCTATTTGAGCTTCACGATCTTATGTGTGCTAAAAGTGATGTTGGAACCATTAGCAACATATCATGGAAACCATTAGAATTCACAAAATTGCACATTGTCATGATCATAAATCTAACGAATAAATTCCTAGGTGATGATCACATACATGATGACAATGATGATGTTGAACATGGCTATTATGATGAGGACGAAGAATTCGACATGGAATATGAGAAGTCTATGAGAAATCTTAGTCTCATGGAAAATCTTCGAGAATACATGGTCGTAGGAAAAGAGTGGATTCTTGATAGTGGATGCACTGATCACATGACCAGATATATAGACATGTTTCGTGAGCTTGCCAAAAATGATGGTCCACGCAAGTATGTGACTTTTGGAGATAATTCCATGGGTAAGGTACTTGGCCTTAGTAAGATGGCCATATCCAATGATAGCTCCGTTCAAAATGTTATGCTTGTTGAATCTCTTGGATACAATCTTCTTTTAGTATCTAAACTAGCCGACTTTGGTTTCAATGTTCTATTTACCGAAGTAGATTGCCAAGTGTTTCGTTAAGATAATCATAATATGGTCTTTACCGGTATCCATAGAGGTGATCTATACCTTGTTGATTTCACTAAAAGAGCCCAACCTCGAACATGTCTTATTACAAAGTCTTCTAAAGGTTGGTTATGGCATAGAAGACTAGGACATGTTGGCATGTGAAATCTTGATAAACTTGTTAAAGGAGATCATATACTTGGTGTTAAAGATGTTATATTTGAGAAGGGTAGACTTTGTAATGCTTGCCAAGGAGGAAAACAAGTTGGAGGAAGTCACCCCATGAAGAACATTATGACCACGAGGAGACCACTTGAACTACTCCATATGGATCTCTTCGGTCCCAATGCTTACAAGAGCCTAGGTGGGAACTAAAGGAGTCCTGGATTCGGGGGTCCTCGGATATCCGGCCTAGGAGTATGAGCCGGGTTGCATGGGCCACACAGGATCGATCTGAAGATCATCTACCGTGTTTGGATGGGACTCCTCAACACGTGGACGGCAGGAATAGAGTCCGGATGTTTCCTTCCCTGATAAACCGACCTTGTACAATCCCTAGACCTCCCCTGGTGTGTATATAAACTGGAGGGGTTAGTTCGTAGAGGCCAACTTTTTCATCATCATCGGAATCTTCATAGGCTAGACATCAAGGGTTAGCCACTACGATCTCGAGGTAGATCAACTCTTGTAATCTTCATACTCGATGAATATAATCAAGCAGGAGTAGGTTTTTTCCTCCGTCAAGAGGGCCCGAACCTGGGTAAATATCGTGTCCCCTAGCCTCCCGTTACCATTGATCCTTAGACG